TCAGCTTTGGATAGTTTGCTTCCTTTATTATTGAACCACAGACAATTAATAATTTCCCAGCTAACAAACTACTTTTTATTTCCACCTAACCTGAAAAAACAACAGCATACAACTTAGTTACTTGTGTGATGTATCACCTCACTGTAAATCTTCAGTGCCTTTACCTTCTGCCAAAGGGCTGTTTTTAAGTAAAAAGTCAAACCATTTTTAAGTCAATCCTCTAATTATTCTTCAGTGTGTTTACACAATTAGATTTCTGATTTATAGAAAATCAGTGCCATGGATGTGCAGCTAAAAGATCATGAAAGCCTCAACCTGAGGAAAGATCTTCATTTTGTAGCCATTAAATTTGATGTAACAATGCAGAGGTTTTACATGAAAATTACTATATTTCAATTTTTTCTCATTCTGTAGGACAAAATGATTTTTTTTTTTACATGGTATATATTCAGAAGCATTTTTTATTGTTCAAGGCAAAGATACTACCCCTTGGCAATCTGCACATTTTACTGCAGTAAAATATCCCATAGTTCTGCTGCAACATTTAGGAGGTTCACACCAAACTAGCCAACCTGAAAACTAACCCATGTCAAGATGCTTTTCTAGAAAGATAATTGATGAATTTCAACAGATGTTATGCTTGGAACTGAGAAAAATACATATTTTCTGCAGATTTGAGGAAGAAAAAATCAAAACCACACCAATAGCCTGCAGAATTTTGCAGATAACTGATCTGTACATGGATGGGCCAGTATCTGGTCAAGCACCAGGACACTGCTACTAATAATGATCCAGGAAATACTGCAGACACAGCAAATTTAACATAGCCAGATTTCCAATAGGTATATTTTTTTTCCAGGGACTAGCTAGCTTGCATTTTCTGACCAATGCTCAAGCTGTAATCCCTTAAAAATTCTCATACTACTTCTGTATACAAGGTGGCCTTAACTTTGGATCACTACAACCTTGGAGAAGTAAGAGCATTTATTGTTTGGGATTTTTTTTTTGTTTGGTTTGGTTTTTGTTTTTATTTAAACTAAATTAATTTCTTATTCTCTATGCAATAATTGTACCCTCTTTACTACTAACCAAAGCTACTGATGGGGAAATCAAGCTATAGCAAACTCCACATTAGCAAGCTCAGGCAAACAAGTATTTCACAATTCTATCTTATTTGTTTGCCATTTTCTTTTCAATTCAGCATAAAGTACATTAAAATACAACAGTTTCTTGTACTAGGCTGGCATAAAAATTCGTATCACATTTTGACACCAACTGTTAGAAGCACTACTGCTCATTCTGCTTCTCTAGTTACTGTTTCACTCAGCCAGTCACTGGTTTCTTCTTTAACAGTGTCCAGGTGAAATGAGAAGCAATCAAGTAAACTGCTTTGAAAATTGAAACAGCTTTGAAAATTGCCAGTGCATGCAGAAGCTGGAGAGGTACAACCTTTCCTCTGCAGGCTACAGTCTCAACAGTTGTTTTCAAAAACTTAAGTTTAAAAACAGTTGCCTTCCACTGGCAGAAGAACATTTTGTCCCTCTTGTTTGGTGGCTCTACCCAGTTATGAGCACAGATGTTTTTGGACTTGGTACTTGGGAGTTGTGATCCTGAGACCCTGAGTGTATTAGAATTATTAATAACAATCTGACAGTGACCTGCATGACACTAACGAACAGATTCAAGGTAACAACTTTTAGACATGCAGTTTTTAGAGAGTCTTCCAGCAGCACTGCTGATAATTTTGTATCTACTGAAGAAAATGTAATCTGAGTTTGGTAAAGCAGAAGTGGAATAAATATCAGAGGTTAAGGGCAAAGTAACAGCACCTCTGAAGCCATCAAAGGCCGTGAAGAGGGGTGGTACTCACTTATTTTCAGAATCAGCAGGCGGATGTTCCTCTCCCTCTGGCGTTTCCTCAGTTACAGCAGACTGATCCAATTCACTGCAATTACATAATGTTTGGAGTTTTGGGTTTTTTAAAAGTTCATCCCTATTTAAAGCTACATGAAGACTTCAGTTCTATAGGGGATTTACACAACCCACTCTTGCTTAAAAAGAACTATTTCATTAAGAATTGGTGCTCTCTGTGCCTTTTAAATGCTACACTGGAAAGGTGGAAACCTTTCTCATGGTTTTCCCCAACATTTACTAGCACCCATTCTGAAAGCCTCGTGCTGCACCGTGAGACACAAAATGGATTTGGCTATTAATAATATTGTTATCAATGTAATACTTGATGCCCCCTCCCTGGAAGTGTTCTCGGCCAGGCTGGATGAGGCTTTGAGCAACCTGGTCTAGTGGAAGGTGTCCCTGCTGCTGGCAGGGGGGGTGGGACTGGATGAGCTTTAAGGTCCCTTCCAACCCAAACCAGTCTGGGATTCTATGACTTGTAAAAAAGCATGCTTAACCTGATCAAAATTATTAAAATTTAAATTTTCTATTTTTAGTGAAAGAATTGTTCAAAAACCAGAACAAGATCCTCCCCCCCATTCCAAACTTCCACAAAATTCTGGTTTTAACAGTAAAGCCATCTCTCATGTTACAAGAAATCACTAATTTTCTCAATCTGCAACGGCTGCTTGAAAAGTATAGCAAAAATTATCAAAATCAAAGGCAAAAGAGGCAGCTAACAAGCAGAAAGAATTAGGATCCTACTAATTAGGATTTATTAACATTCTGCTAATAGTTTTAATCACAGGTTACTAACGTTAGCTCGTCTTTGACGGTTCCCCAGTTGTGTGATCCGCTGCCACCACGCTTGTCCTCGTGCTTCAGGCCGCTGAAATGTGAATGTGAAACAGAACTAACAAAACTGAGTTAACATTATAGTGTCCAGACACAGAAATTCAAAAGGCAAATTCTACAGTGTGTTTTAATTTTAAAGAATAATAATAATAATAATAAATAAATAAAATCAAAACAGGAAAAGTTAAAGACTTACGATCTATCGCTGCCACTGTGTCTGTCAAATTCACGTTTGCCACGAGAGTCAAACCCGTCTCCTCTGCCCATCCCACGGCCACGGCCACGTCCTCTCCCAAGTCCGCCACGTCCACGCATAGGTCGGTCAAGAATGGGTCTAGCATGGAACAGTCAAATTTGAATATTGCACCTCCAAAAATTTACAGCATGGTTTTTAAGGGGTTTTTTTTCCTCTTTTGAGAATTTTATCTACTTGCTTTTCCTTCAAGAACTACTGTTTGCGTGTTGAGGCTCTAATTTCAACACCAAATTATTACACTGAAAAAACACAAATATGTAACACCTGCATTTTAGAATCTGGAAACAAATGCTCAAGATTACTGTTCATTTGCATTTTCTGGCACTAAATGCCAAAATTTAGTGTTTGTGTTGTGTTACATCACTACTTGATACCACAGTTCCAATTTAACTCATGTTCATCCACTTTACTTTTAAAAGGATTTGAACTTTGGCTATTAAAATTTTAATATTTGAACATTACTTTCAGAACACTTGAATTCTGGATGCCACAGGATACTCGAGACACTTTCAAACTTGCCTAGACACAAGATGGCTTCACCAATTCCAGATCTGAAGCGACTGCAGCCAAGTAGGAACACCTACATGGACTAACTTTTATTGGCTTGAGGTCAGCCATAAAGATTTAAGCAACAGCTCTAAGAGCAAAAAAATTTCATCCTGCAGGCAACAGCCAGACTTGTGTTCCTTTTCTGACCCATCTGCTATAAATTTAGAGAGATACAGTGGATATCTCACTGATTTAAGCACATTTTCAGGTAAACCAGTGGAACTGTTCATGTTAGATCACTCCCAGTCTGTAACTTTTAAACAAAATCATGGAAAAGGGAAGAAAAGTGTTATACTGTGTGTGACCTATACTCTTCTTGTGACTGAAAAGGATTTAATTCAACCAATTTAATTTTTGACAGGCTGAGAGAATTGGGGCTGTTCAGCTTGGAAAAGAGAAGGCTCCAGGGAGATCTTATAGTGGCCTCCCAGTACCTGAAGGGGCTACAAGAAAGCTGGGGAGGGACTTTTCATAAGGGCAGTTAATGACAAAACAAGGGGAAATGGGTTTAAGCTGAAAGAGGGGAGGTTTAGATGAGATATTAGGAAGAAGTTCTTCACTGTGAGGGTGGTGAGACAGTGTCCCAGGTTGGCCAGAGAAGCTGTGGCTGCTCCTCCCTGGAAGTGTTCTCGGCCAGGTTGGATGAGGCTTTGAGCAACCTGGTCTAGTGGAAGGTGTCCCTGCTGCTGGCAGGGGGGTTGGGACTGGATGAGCTTTAAGGTCCCTTCCAACCCAAACCATTCTACAATTCTATAACTTAGCAGAAGGCAGGACAGTCCCTTCCTGTCAACAGCAGAGAAGCTGTCAGGCAAGACAAAATTCTTACTTATCAACAGAGAATTCTCCTCCTTCGCCTTTCTCATCAGCAGGCTTGTCAAAGCGGCGCTCGCGAGGAGGTCGTCTCTCCGGTCTCCTGTCAATGGGTTTGCCTTCACCCTGCTGCTGCTGCTGCTGCTGCTGCTGCTGATCAGGCCTCCTGCCAATCCGCCTTATCCCTGAAACATCAGGCAAAACACAGCAACGGAATGAGGAGCTGCTCTGGGAGAGATACTGACTCTAGCAGTGTAACACAGTACTGAAGGTGAGCTGGAATCAAAGTTGTTCCTCTAGTGAGGAGGTAACCTGAGAAAATATTATACCTTAATTAAAAAGTCACTGTGGATCACTTGACTCTTCTTATTCACATTTTTACGTAGCATTTTAATCAAATTATATTTTGTACAACCTGTACACTCTTACAATATTGTAGGAGACAAAACCTGTCAGAGCACACAACACATTAGTAATCCACGTTAAAATGTAACGGTCAACTTTCAAAGAAGGATCAAGGGAAGCTGTTTTGTTTGGGTTTTGGTTTGTTTTTTTTCTCTGAAAGGTGCTTTTCAGGTAAAACAAGTGGGTTTTTATTTTGATGTGCACCAAAGTGAAGTCAGGGTTGCCACGCTGGACTCAAGTCCCTGTGACATCCACCCTGTGTCATCCCACTACGCTCTGCTTGGAAACTTTTTTGTCCAGCAGTGTGAGCCAGGGCAGGGTGTGCTCTGCCACGAGGGCCACCCGTGTCACTGGTGTCACTCACAGCCCAGGTCCCAGTCAGTGACTCAGTGCTGTGCTCCTCCACACCAATCCCTGCAGCCCAACACAAAGACTCACCTCCTGGAGCACTTACTTAAAATAGCTGAAGAACACACACACTGTGGCACCGAGGTGGTGAGCTGCCTCCCTCCCTCACTGTGCCTTCTGCAAGTTGTTTTTTTTTTATTTATTTTTAAATAATAACTCCCCATAGGCATTATCTTCTTCACTAAGACATCTCAAGTGGCTCAAACACAGAGGGTTTTTTTTCCACTCATCTAAAAGGCTTGTTTAGTTTTTATTTATTTATTTTTAAATAATAACTCCCCATGGGCATTATCTTCTTCACTAAGACATCTCAAGGGGCTCAAACACAGAGGGTTTTTTTTTTCCACTCATCTAAAAGGCTTGTTTACTCTTTAGAAAGATCTGCACAAACACATTACTCCTTTGTTCTACTATTTTCTTGCCAAAACATTAAAAAAAGCACTAAGCAAACCACCAAGGCTGGCTTAAGAATTGTAAATTTATCTTTTAAATTAAAAACTGACAATTTAATCATTTTTTTTAAAAAAAGAAATAAGTTCCTGCCTAATAAGCAATGTCGTATTTGGGTGGGGCTGAAGAAGTTAAGAGTTGTAATGATATCCAAGCCAACACACCCAAATGAACAACGTCTTCCTTACCTTACAAGCTGTACTTAACACGGAGTTTGCATGACAGGCGTTGCTTGCTCAGTAATCCTCACTCCCCGGGGAAACACGGGGGTTAAACTCCCTAACATCAGAGGAGAGCTGCACAGCCCGGTGTCACAGAGCAGGTATGCTGCACAACTGGAACAAACAAGCCAGCTCTTTTGAATTTCAACACCCTGAGCTCAGAAAAAACCTGGTTCTTGCTGAAGCCTAACCAAAAATACAAGTTATTTTATTTATTTATTTATTTATTAGTATCACAAAGCTTTGAACTGGTAATTCACCAGTTATACTGGTAATACACCAGTCAAATAATCTGTATCTTTACAGAGTGGTGGAACAGCTTTAAACTGCAACACGCTCACGCAGGAAACAAGCCCCCTGGATATCAATACATTTATAATATTACAACTACTGTCCCCCACAAAAAAAAAAATCGCAATTTTCAAACTGGCAAGTCACTTTGTTTACTACAGTGCTCCACACACACTGCTACAAAAGCAGGCCTGGCCTTCTCTGTTTCACTACTAAAATAAGCCCCAAAATACCCTTTTTTTTTTTTTTTCATAGTGAAGTAGTGCTTGTTCTTGAAAATGAAGGTGAAAATAGGGAGGTAAACATGGCCTGGTAGCCCCACCAAAACCACTCTGCGTTCCCTTGTGCTGGCCAAAGACACTGCCCCTGTTTCAGGTCTACCTCATCATTCTGTATCTGACCAATATTCCCAGTAAATTGCCACGGAGGATAAATTATTGCATTTCTCACAGGGAAAACACACTCGAAGCACAAAAAATCCCCAAGTGAAGCTCAGCACAAGGTGTTTTCAAATAACATCTGGGAGGCCCGCTTTGTAAAACAACCACTACATTAAACCTCTCTCTTTCTTAAAAAGCACAAAACAGGGTGCAGAATCATTTTGCGACGTGCAAGGCAGTAAATGTTGAAGTATTAAGATGTTTTTATGTAGCTCTGTGCTCTTCAGAGCTGGCCACGCTTCTCAAGATTGCTGAGGGTTCAACTGCAGTCAGCAAGTGATCTCCTCACCTGCACCACAACCCCTGTCACCACACTTCACTTCGATGCACTTCAAGGATTCCAATTCAATCCGACTTCTGATCAATTCTGAATTATTATTATTATTACTATTATTATTATGAAGTTTGTGCACGGCAGAGCTGCCTGCCCCGGGACAACGTGTGTGTGCACAACACCTATCCCTCTTCATGCAGGGCTGCATCCCACCCATTACTCTGCCCCCAGCACATTCATTTAACCCATTTATACTTTGATTTTATTTTCCCCAATAGTTTCTCGCGTGGGCTGTCTTATGGGTTTATACAAACAGGGTTGAGAACTGATGATTATTAAAATATATCCATGATTTTTATCGACACCGTGACTTGAGAAGAACGCAGGGACCGCGGGACAGCCTGTCAAACGCATCACACCACCCAAACCGCGGTTCACGGGTGGGACGCCTTGCTGGGATTTTATCTTTCACGTCGCACTTCTCCCGTGGGTGGGCGACCCACGCAC